TTTTTTTTTTGCTATTATGTGTACTTCTAGATTCGTTCTGATCGTTTACGTTCTGTATATCCCTGTTGTTTTATACTCGCTTAAACGATAGTTTGACAGACTGGAGATTACTGTACAAAATCAACTGGTTGGGTATGTTGTGCAAAGAAGCCACGAAGGATTTTATGAGTGTCACGTTCGAACCAATGACAACACGGAATGGGTATACCGGTACGAACTTAGTAAGTTTTTTTTTTGAATTTTTTACTTACTTTCGTTTATAATTGTAAGCTGTACAGAAGGGAACGAGAAGAAAAGTGCGAACGTCCTAAAGTAAAGAAATTGTCTTATAAGCAGTGATATTAGACATTGATCGTAGTATATTAAAAGAATTTTCAAGTTATACAGGATTGCTCGGATACGGATAATATATCAGTCAATCCATTAAATCCTTGCGCATTTGGACACTGCTTCGTGGAGTCTCTTAAATATCCCTTTTTTATTCAGTATTTGACTTGCAGATGTGTTAGACAGTACACTGGAGAGTACTGCGATAGTAAGGAGCTTTTTTGGACAGTATTCTTTTTCTAGTAGCTTCTTAAACTAGCGATGATAAGTGAAATGCTGCAGATGTTCATCAGAATGGATAAAGCAGCAGTCTATTATTAAGGACGGGCAAAAGTCTAATGAACATTAGTACCGGTCAGTGTAGTGCTTTATATTTTTTAGTTTTGATTGAAGGCGGGATATACATCGAGCTGTTACATTTTTCTCCGTTTGCGATACATATGTTTTCAGTTGTTCTTTTGTTCATATATGGATGCTGTATTCAACCAAGAATATGGTTTGTCAATTTTAATTATATGCCATTTCAAGAAATAAGCATTGTAATATGTAATACACTAATTATTTTTTAAACTGGGCTGGAAATTTTACTTTTTACACTATTGTTAGCCTCATAGCAAATTCTTCCTCTTTTGATGGTATTTAATATATGTATCTGAGATAATTAGTAACCTCGGAGTCTCACGCTTTGCCTTGCGATCATATATGCTTTTTAAGGACAGCAATAAACAATTCCTAGAATTGCTGTTGAGCATAATAACGTAACATAATTATTTGTCAGCTTCAAGTGTATTATATTTAGGACTTCTACAAAAGTGTCATTGTGTAATACTGTGACACAGGTAGCGCCACCTGGTGTCCATGCGCTGTATCGGATTGCATTCAACAATGGGTTGGATTTCCAGGTCAAAATGCGACGGCGTCCATTTAAGAGGGTAATCTAATAAATGCACTTCCAACCTGAGTTCTGTTGTATCTTCTGGATAAAAGTTTTTTCTAGTAAGAAATTCTTGTTTCTCTATTAGGAATTTGAGTTAGATTAGGATGCGGGAATTTGATTTTATAATTTCTCTGAACGTATTTCTGTAGTAGTACTTGATATTGGAAGTTTATAGTAATTTGTAGTGTCTGTGATGTTTTTAAATTTTGTGTGCCAACCAGTAGCACTGTTAACTGATTTATGATTTGTCACGGTATCATTTAGCCCAATGCTGTTCTAACCAAACTAAAGTATAGCTTTCTAAAGTTTTAATAAAATATAGCAATTACTGAGCAGAGTGAAAGAAATCCCTTATTTGGTTTTTTTACGTAAGAAGTTGGGAAATTTTAGATTAAGTATTAAGTGAATAATGCTGGTTGCTCGTTTACAGTGAGTAAACTTTTAGGCAGACATGAAAATAAACTGAAGTAATATAGTTTTAGTGAAAGTATGAAGTGCACATTGAAAGTTGTTGTCTTGTTTTTTATTCAGTAGTTTTTGCGTGCCAAGTTGCCTTATTTTCTGTTTCTGTTTTCAAAATACACTTGATACGTGTTATTTCTATTAAAAGTTAGTATCGTTTTTACATTGGAGGTGTTTTAGAGAAATCGAGTGTAGTGGATTTCTTCCTGTCGTAAGTTGTTGATTCAGTTCTTTTTGATTTTTCTCAAATATCTGTCATTCTGGCATTGTGAAAAATACCAGTGTTGCAGAACATAAACGAATTGGAATGGGAGCGGTGGAGAGAGAGGCGAGTTAAAAGGGGACGAAAAGCTGGTGGTGCAACTCCCTTATCTTGTTTTAAGAATTATTATTTGAGAGGTTTTTGCTGCGTTGTCGTGTAGTTTTCCTCAGATGCCTTGTCACAACAAGGTTACTTGCTGTTTTTTTATCCGAAGGAAAATCCCATGGTGTTGTTGATACTTGAAGATTCTGAAGTAAAATGTTAGAGTCATTACGAGTAGTTATAGTCCACTAGTACAGTCATCGTTCCATTTATTTGAGTAGTGGTCTTTGGAAATGGACGAGTCGGACTGCCCACTAGTAACGCAGCGTCATTAGGAGATGCATATTGAGCTGTTTCTAAAAGGTATTGTCGCAGGAGTAGCAAGCACTGTTGAAAGAAGGGGAAAAACGGTTTGCCAAAACTGGGATGTGCTGATATATATTTGTTTTTTTTTTTTTCAACCTTTGTGCTATCCCAGAAAATGTGCTTCAGATGTTTGGATATTTTTGAGGAACTTTTCACGCTGCAAACGTTGCAAAAATTGGTAAAATAAGTGGGAAGAAAACAGGCAGGGAATATTATTATTATTACAAGTTTAGCATCTATTTACTGATTTCTTCCATCTGCAATCGTCCATTTTTTGCACTCAATATTTCCATATCCCACAAATTTTCTGCTACATTGTTCTCTTTTTCTTTTTTATTTTATATTTATTTTTTTAGTGTAGTTCATCGACCGTATAATTAATTGTTTTTGTTTTTGGGCACCAGTAATAGCAGATAAAACAAATTGATGAAACTAAATCAAAAATAAATATTAAAAAGACGATGAAGAAAGCCGGAAACAATGCGAGAACAAAAAAGAAAAAGAACCCATGTATAATTTGTTAACATTAAACAAGTTCGTGAACATAGCGCCAAAATACTCTATAAAAAGAATGGAAAAAACAAAGGAGACGAGAAAGAAACAGAAAAAAATATATGTATATGTATATTTATATATTTATATATGTATATATATATGGGTAATTTAAAGTAATAAACAAAAAAAAAAAAATAAAGCGCTTATTATTTAGGCATAATTGGAAACCCTTAAAAAAAAAACTAGCAAATAGACCATATGAAGAAATTGGGGGAAAAATATGTAATAAAAAGAATTTAAAGTTGAAAATAAGCAATAAGCAATGTTTTTTTTTTTATCTTTCTTCTTCGTTACAAAATTTATTTGTAATTTCTTCTTTTTAAGACTTCTATTACGATTTTTTTTTTTTTTTTTTTAAGAGCTGCCAGCAGCAACTGCATCTTAGGAGCTTTGGTTCATGATTGAACCAGAAAACAAATAACAACAACAAGAAAAAAAGGCTTAGGGAATGTATTCATCGGCTCTTTTTTCA